CTTGGTTTTAAAGCTAGTATTAAACCAGGTTTTTGACCAGGTTTTTTTTTCTTCTCTCTCTCTCTCTCTCTCTCTCTCTCTCTCTCTCTCTCTCTCTCTCTCTCTCTCTTTCTCTCTCTCTCTCCCTATCTGATATTTTGTACCTCAACATCTCTTTTTCTATTTCATAAAATTTATTTTAATTTACTTCCTTAAAGTAAAATAAAGATAAGCTGTGGTGGTATTCTAATTGTGCTGAAATGTGATTTTGATTGTATGTTAATAAATAAAGTTGCCTGGGGGTCAGAGCTATTAGAGCCATAGACAGAGTGTGGCGGTGGTGGCGCACGCCTTTAACCCCATAGATCTCTGTGTGTTCAGGGATACAGCCAGCATTGGAGACATATGCCTTTAAGACCTGGGGGGCTGTACATATAGACAGTGATGAGGCAGTCACGTGTTTGGGTTTACAACCAATGAGAAGGCAGAATGACTATGAAACGACTTACACACAGGGAAATAGCTCTCTCTTTCGGGAAGCTGGGACCACCACTTGAGGAAGGGTGAGATTTTAGCTCTGACCTCTGACCTCTTGGCTTTCTCTTTTACATTGGTTCTGTGTTTCTTATTTAATAAGATGGTTGGTTACATCTACAATAAGCAAATTTGAAATTTACTATCATTACCCGTAATTAAAAAAAAGAAAAGCTCTCTTCAAAGAATATTTTGCTTCTCACCCCTTCACCCTCCAAATGCTGGGACATTTTTGAGGGACTTCTTGTTGAAGATAATTTCTTCTCTTTCCTTAAAAAGAATTTATTCATGATTGGAATTTGCCACAAACTAACATGGGTAAACTGGAATTTGACTTCACCTATTATTCAGTAAAATTCATGAAAAAAAAGTCTCAGACAAGACCTAAATCATATACTACTTAAATGTTTGTGATATCAAAAATAGTGCAGTGCCCTGTGTGGAGTAGAGGGGTGTGGTTACCAGGACTGAAAAGTCTCCCCTGATTGTTTCTTTCTGTTTTTTGTTTTTTGTTTGTTTGGTTGGTTGGTTTCTTTTCCAGACGGAGTTTCTCTGTGTAGCACTGGCTGTCCTGGAACTCAATTCTGTAGCCCAGGCTGGCCTCACACTCAGAGATCCTCCTGCCTCTGCCTCCTGAGTGCTTGGATTAAAGGCGTGTGCCACCACCACTCCACCTGGCATTTCTTCTTGAATTTACTAGAACTTCTTAGACAATAGAATGGCCTTTGTGAGCCACTTTGGCCCATTTGCTCACTACACTGAACGTTTTCCTTACCTAATTCTAGTACTTTCTTACTATAGACCTAGATAAAAGCAGTAAGCTTTAACTATAGGTTTTATAGCCAGAACGTTATCCTGTCTTGAAATTTTCATCATCAAACAAATTAATTCATTACTTTCAAATTCAGCCTTAATCAAGTTCTAAGGGCATGAGCAAAATACAGTTATGTGTTGTTTTTCCAGACTACAACACAAATGATCTTAAGTCCAGGGCCTGAAGCCTTTGTTTGCCTATGAAATGTCAAGAGCCCGACCTCCAATATTGCATTTTCTTAGCATTCTGGTCTTCCAAACTCCCACAAGCATGGCCCATTCAGCCTTGCTGACAGGATTCTAATTCTTCTCTGCCCTATACCCTAAACCCTTCCACATAACTTCCATGAAGCAATTTAAAAGTTATATACTGCAGGATTAGATTTATCACACTGACCCATTTCTGGGACCAAAATTCTGTACTATTGTTTTTTCATTGTTCTCATAAATATATGACAAAAGTTATTTAATGAAATAAGAATTCATTCTGGCTCACAGACTTTTTTATTAACTATTTTTTTCATTTATTTTACATCCTGATTCCCCTCCCTCTTCTCCTCTCCTTCCCTCCTTTCCTCCTCTCTACCTCCCCCCATCTACTCTTCTTCTGTTTCTGTTCAGAAAAAAGGAGCAGGACTCCCATGGGTGTCAACAAAGTATGGCATATCAAGTTGAGGTAGGACTAACCTCCTCCTTTTGTATTAAGGCTGGGCAAGGTAACCCAGTATAGGGGATAGGTTCCCAAAATCCAGCTCAAGCATGAGGGAAAGGTCCTGGTCCCACTGCTAGGAGTCCCACAAACAGACCAAACTACACAACTGTTACACACATGTACAGGGCCTAGGTCAGTCCCATGCAGGCTCCCTAGCTGTTGGTCCAGGATCTGTAAGCTCCTGTGAGCCAGGTTAGTTGTTTTTGTTGTTTCCCTTGTGATAATCTTGACCTCCCTGGCTCCTACAATTTTCACCCCACTCTTCAGTAGGATTTCTGGAGGTTGGCCCAGTGCTTGGCTGTGTATTTGTTTCCATCAGTTACTTGGATGAAGGCTCTTTAATGACAATTAAGATAGTCACCAATCTGATTATAGGAGTAGGCCAGTTCAAGGCACCCTCTCCAATATTGCTAGAAGTCTCAGTTCCCTTTGTGGATTCCTGGGAGTTTCCTTGGCACTAAATTTCTCCCTAAACCCGAAATGCCCCCCCATATCAAGACATCTCTTTCGTTACTTTTCCCCTCCATCTTGTCCCCACCAACCCACCTAACACAATCTCTCATGTTCCCATCAACCCAAGAAATCTCTTCTATTTCTCCTTCCCAGGGACATCCATGAGTCCTTCTTTGGGCACTCCTTGTTACCTAGTCTTTATGAGGCTGTGGATTGCAGCCTGATTATCCTTTACTTTACAGCTAATACCAACTTATGAGTGAGCAAATACCATGTTTGCCTTTCTAGGTCTGAGTTACCGCACCCAGGATGATTTTTTTTTTCTACTTCCATTCATTTGCCTACAAATTTCATGATGTCATTGTTTCTTACAGCTAAGAAATACTCCACTGTACAAATGTACCACATTTTCTTTATCCACTCTTTGGTTGAGGGGCATCTAGGCTGATTCCAGGTTCTGACTATTATGAATAACACTGCTATGAACATAGTTGAGCAAAGTGTCCTTGTGGTATGATTGAACATCCTTTGGGTATATGCCCAAGATTAGTACAGCAGGGTCTTGAGGTAGCTTGATTCCCAATTTTTTGAGAAACTGCAATGTCGATTTCCAAAATGGCTGTACAAGTTTGCATTCCCACCAGCAGTGAAGGAGCGTTGCCTTTGCTCCACATCGTCTCCACCAGATGCTGTCATTAGTGTTTTTGATTTGAGCCATTCTGACAGGTGTAAGATGGAATCCCAAGGTCATTTTGATTTGCATTTCCCTGATGGCTAAAGATGTTGAACAATTCTTTAAGTGTATCACAGCCATTTGAGATTCTTCTCTTAAGAATTCTCTTTTAGATCAGTGCTCCATTTTTTAATTGGATTATTTGGTATTTTGATATCTAGTTTCTTGAGTTCTTTATATATTTTGAAGATCAGATGTGGGGTTGTTGAAGATCTTTTCTCATTCTGTAAGCTGCCATTTTGTCTTATTGACAGTGTCCTTCACCTTACAGAAGCTTTTCAGTTTCATGAGGTTCCAGTTATTAATTATGGATCTCAGTGTCTGTGCTACTGGTGTTATATTCAGGAAGTTGTCTCCTGCACCAATGCATTCAAGGCTACTTTTCACTTTCTCTTCTATCAGGTTCAGTGTAACTGGATTTATGTTGAGGTCTTTGATCCACTTGGAGTTGAATTTTGTGCAGTGTGACAGATATGGACCTATATGCACTCTTCTACATGCCAACATCCAGTTACCCAGCACCATTTGTTTGGATGCTTTCTTTTTGTCATTGTATGATTTTGGTTTCTTTGTCAAAAATCAGGTGTTGTTAGGTGTGTAAATTTACATCAGGGTCTTTAATTCAATTCCATTGATCCACCTGTCTGATTTTATTTATTTTTTTTTCTTATTAATTAAATTTTTGGCTTATAGTTTTAAGGTATGCTTCATCATGACATGGCATGAGGCAGCTGGTCACATAGCATCCACAATCATGAAACACTGATGCATAAATTCTATTGAACCACTTGCTTTTTCCTTTTTGACTTAGTCTGTGACCTCAGCCCATGGTATTATCTCTCACGTTTAGTTTGAGTCTTCCTTCCTCAGGGAAACCTTTGTGGATATTGCCCCAGAGAATTACCCAGATGTTGGTCTCCTGATTATTCTAAATCCTCCCAAGTTGACAATGATAACCATAGCAAGTACATTGTTTCAGTTGTGCAAAGTGAGTAAGTCCTACAGATCTACTTTCAGCATTGCATATGTAGTTAATAATATTGTATTGTTTGCTTAAGTTTAGTACAATAGATGTTGGGTTATCATCAAAAATATAATGGAGAAAACTCCTATAGTTAATGATTATATGTATGGAACTGTAATGTAACGATCTCATAGGGATGTACTTATTTTCAAACACAGACATGTATACTAGTTATGTATAGCTGTTGATGTATTATCAACCATTCTGCAATCAAAATAAAAGATAAATAAAAATGAAAGTATAAATCATCTGTCATCTACTATTGCCAAATTGTGTGACCTTAGCCAACTTACCAACTCCCTGACTTCAGTTTTTTGGGGGTTATTGTTAAGATCAAATGAAAATATAGTGGCAGTTCTTTAACAATACTATTCTGTCTTTAAAAGTATGTAAGAATTGGTGAACATATTTAATGGAGTACCTGGGACATGTGAAAAATAGTATTAAAAATAATTGGTGTTGTTGCTGCCATGATGATTATGATGACGAGAATTACATTAGTTATCTTGTGTTTATTGTGAGAAAAAATTACAAGAAGCAAAATGGAAAAAAGAGTTGATTCCACTCACAGTTTCAAAGATCCAAGGCTGAATGACTCACTGTCTTTCAGGTCGGTGGCAAAGGGAATTATCATATTGCAATGGCACAGCAGGGGAACAGCTGCATACTGCAGGACAGACCTGAGGCAGAGAGCAATGTGACCCTGCTCATAGGCTCCTTACATTTTCTTCCTCGTTTTATTTTTTTTCTAGTTCCAACTAAGTCAAGACTACCCGATGATGCCATCCATATCCAAGCTGGTCTTCCTATGTAATTAATCATCTCTAAAACAATCCCATGCAACCAGAAGAGGAATGTATTAATCTTTCACGCATGTCTCAATTCAGTCAAGTGGACAATGAAAATTAACCATCACAATAATGAAGATACTAAATTCAAAACTAAATGTTCAAATCCTAGTCCTACTGTGTGGTACCTGTTCTCTGTGTAAGGTTGGCAATGTTTCTGAGCTTGCCTTTCTTCATCTGTAAATGGAAATAACAATTTCCATTTCTCCAAACTATTGGGAAGATCCAATGAAATAAAGTTTACAATGGTGCAATTTAAAATATAAAGTCATGTACCTCGTTTTATGTTGGCACAAATGACAATGCTGTGCCTAACCACTGATAGACTTTGAAGTAAAGTCAACAGAATTTTAATATGTCTCCAGATGGATGAAAAATAATTGGGTTGTCTCATGAGACTTTCTCAGCTATCAATAATATCTGCTTCAACAGTGAAGTGTTTCAAAATCATAAATAATCTCTCATTGGAACAACAATGAGAGGAAAGCATTTATAAAGTAAGGTTAAAGAATAACTTAAAATTCTGATTTTTATCTGGAAGAATCTGTATGTATACAGGAGCTTTGAGAGCAGAGGGATTTCAAATGGAGGACAAAGAGCTCCAACTGTTAGGGCAAGGACATAGATGAAGTGATACCAGATCAGAGAAACTAGATCATTCTAGCTCCTTTATTTCACTAACTAGAACTTTTGCTAAGATGTGGGGTGCAAAATGCACAGCATAACATAGACAATGAGCATTCTAACTATCCTGCATATAGGAAGTCCTAAGGACCATATTCTAATCCATAGCTATTCCAGAGGTTCTCTGCAGTGGAGCCATGATACTGTTAAAAGCAGAAGCAACTGCTAAACAAATAGCCAAGTAGAACAAGCCTCCTGTGACCCTGGGCAAACCATTTGACTGCCCCGAGCCCTATTCTTTCCAACAGTGAAATAATATTACCCCCAGTTCACTCCTAAGGAGTTGTCAGCATAAACTAGTTATTTATCAGAAAGTGAAGGGATCCCAGGATGAAACATGCTTTACAACCCCAAAGTGTGATCACTTCATAATTTATAAGTCTTGGAGAGGCTTTGTTTTGGTTTGGCTTTGAAACTGAGACCTTGAGTGGTTGTTCTACGAAAACATTTTCCCCTGCTGTATCTTTTCACTTACATGAGAAAGAGTTGTAAAATTGAAGGGTCTTGCTATGACTTCGGTATCAACTGCAGGAAAGATAGAAACTGTGCAAAAAAAAATCTCTGAAATATCTACCATAGCCATGACTGATACTTGGCTATATCCTACTGTGATAGACATTCAAGATTTATACACATTTGAAAAATATTAGTTGAGTTTATTCTCTATGCCAGAACTTGTACAAATGCTAGGAATACCAAAAAGATTAAGAAAGGTCTGGCCTTGAGCACATTCTAATTAGGAAAACAAACACATAAAGAAGCAGGTAGAAGACAGAATGTGTGGCAACTGTTTTCTAGCAATTTCTAGAAGGTGGCAGTGGAAGTCACTAATTCCGTCTTTGGTTGCTTTGTCTGTTTTTAATTAGCTTCACACAATAATCACATCTACTTGTGGTCATTAGAATATTTTTGATCAGTGTCTGAAAAAACAGGCTATCTCCATTTTAGGCTAAAAAGCCATTTATAGTAATTTCTGTTTATAATTAAACCTCCGTTCTTCAAAGATTCTACAAATGGTTCTCTACTGCCTGTTCCAAGAATGGCAATCACGTCTTTGTTTCAAAAATTTGTTTATGACCATCTTGCAACCCTACCTTTGTTTCAAAAGGCTATATGGCTACCTGTTCTTATGATTACCTTGTTATGCCCAGCGCAATCACGTTTTTGTTTCAGGAGGTCTTTATGACTAACTTGCTATGTTTATGTTCTGCTTCTGTACCCCACCTATTTTGCCCACCAAATCTCCCATTTGGAAAGCCCCTACCTCTGAGCTATAAAAGTCTTGTCTTCCTCACAGCCAATGCTGACCTCTTGAATCCCACAGAGGGAGGTAGACAGCATAGTCTATATAGTGAGTTCCAAGGCAGCCAGAGCTACAATGAAATCCTGTCTCAAAAATGTGGAGGGGGGTGGGGGTTAATATTGTTTTCTTATGTTAAGAAAAAAAAATCTAAACTATGATTCGGTCATGCAGACCAATTTATAAGAATCAGGATTTAGGAGTTCAAGAGAACGAACAGTGGTTATAACCCCTGCTGTGCAAGCATGAAGATCTGAATTCAAATCCTGAGCATTTAAAAGCCAGGCACGGTCTAGCATGCATATAACTTAGTACTGTGGGGGACAGGGACAGGAGGATCATAATTACTGGGTTTCTGTCTAGCTCCATGTTCATAAGAGACCCTGTCCAAGTGGAATAAGACAGAATGATAAAGCAGGACACCTGGAGCCCTCCTCTAGCCTCTCATGGTATAGTGCACACACCTACAGACATGTCTCTCCCTCTCTCTCTCTCTCTCTCTCTCTCTCTCTCTCTCTCTCTCTCTCATACACACACACACACACACACACACACACACACACACACACACACACACACACTCA